AGAAAGTTGGAAACGATTGATGCAATAACAGATATATTTCGTCAAATCTTTACAGCTATTCAGACTTCAAGATAATGTAACAAAATCGCTTGTTTATCATAACACACAATCTGCTCGTAAAATACCGAATGGTCACGGTATTGATGAGATACTATACTATACTAGAAGCTAATTTATCAAGAAAACCTCACCCAAATACTTTATTTCGATCTAATGGTTTCAATATACAGATACGTAATGGTGTGTGCAAAAGAAATTAAATTTTATAAGTAGAACGTATTTGTCGTTGGAGTCAAATTCTCGGATTGTTTGATTGAGGATCATCGCAGCACCTTCTACACTCGGCCGATAAATCGGAGGAGTTATTCCGGTGGAGACACGCACGAAGTCAAAACCAGAATAAAACACTTAAGAGTTTGTCGAGAGGACCGTATAGGGTTGAAGCCTTCCTCCGATGCCGGACGCCTGATTCTAACAGTACAAATCCGATCGTATTATTCGCGACGCGGATGTCGAATAATTCGGGAAACCGTCAATATGCGGGCTGAGCGACACTTCAGTTACCCAATATGATGATGAACTATACTCATATGATTTTAACTAAACAGCGAAACAGCAGTACTACACGGTCGTGTCCGCCTCTTTACAAAGGCATTTGAGTACAACCAAGGAACAGCGGCAAGGCACTTTCGTGAACAGAGTGATACCGTGGGTACTCAAACGAGTCTGTGAGCTGTCCCCGGATCAAATGTTGCAGAAGTCATCCAATTCTATCTCGTGAGATTATACCTCACAAGGGCACACAGGTACAATTAGAAAATACGGCGGGACACTATTCGTGGGCCGTGTGACACTTCAATTGCCTGTATGTTCTAACAACTACGCTGTACACGTCCAAAAAAGAGTTCTATAATGTTATTCTAGCAGTGTCACAGTTCGGTTTGAACTTGTGACTCTTTAGTTTGAGGCGCATATGTGTCGAAGGTAAATAGCCGGTTTGTCTATGTTATCCGATCGGTTTGACCTTCCTCCCCTAGAATGCCGAAACTGATTCTTACATCAACCTCCTTCGATCGCTATTCAGAGGGGATTAGGGATTGCAATGTCGGATCAAAAGTTCAATACCCGTATTCGGTATTTTTTAGATCTTAATACCGGAATACCGGTTTTAATACCAGTAGTAAGAATTTTAGGAAAAGAAAGAAAACACAGATGTTTCTTTGCTTTCTTTGCCAGTTTTATTGGAGAGAGTAAATATCACAAAAAATCATTTGTAACTTATAAGTTATAACAGTATATAAAGAATCACGTAGTAAAAGTAAAAAGTAAAGGAACAAGGAACATCTTATGTATTTAAATCACAAAAAATGTAAATATCACTATTCAGTCTGTAGTACTAATAGAAATTTTTGAAATGTCATCTTAAAAAACATAATGCATCAATTGTACTGTCATTAAGCCTGGAATGTAATTTTGTGCAAAAATTACCAGCTGCCGAACACGCTCTTTCAGCATCTACCTTAGTGGGTGGCACTGTTAACAAATCGCGATATACTTTTTTCAAGTATTTACCTCTAAATCCCTCATCTTCAAATAAATCGATTTCTCGTTGGATGGTTTTGGATAGAACTGATTTTTGTATTGTATTTTGGTTTGTTGAAATTTTTTTAGTTATCGCTAATTCTAATTTTTGTTTAAGAGACTTTTCACTATCGACATTAGTGTCATCATCAACTTCGATAACTGTACCGAAGTCTTCTGAATGTGGATAGGTTGGTAGGTAAAAAATTTTAAGAAAATTTACGATAAACTTGATCAAATTTGAATTGGTTAGTCTCTTTTCTTCTTTTTCATTTTCAATTTTAAAATCATTATAAGTGATATTATATGTACACGCCCACAAAATAGATTTCTATTATCTTATTCTAGCAGTGTCATAATTCAGTTTGAACTAAAGTTAGCAGAATTATCAAAAAGTTCCAGTTTGCTACTGATGTAACCACACCGAAACCATGTGCATTTAAACAGTTATTTACACCTAGGTGCGGACAATTGATTATTAATTAAAGAGCGATATATGTGTCCCGTGAGTGTATAAAATGTATAAAATGTACATATAACTCGAACCATAATAATATTTTTTGCATGAGAGAAATGAAAAGTTCCAATTTATTCGTATTTTTTCTATGGACCCATAGTTTACGTTTAATCAAAATAGTTCAATGTTTTAATAAAAATATTTGCAAAATAATGTTAATTTTTAACATCTTATTTAAACAAATTTTTCAAAAATTCGCTTACGCCATGTTATTGGCCTTCGAAAACAGAAAAATTTGCATTTCGTATGTTTTGTCTAGGCCTAATAGTTCCCGAGATATTTGGAAAAATAGCTTTTTTAATCCCGACTTTAAGGGTTATTTTCACCACTTCAAAGTGGATATTCGCCGATAAAAAAATACGTGTCAAATATTTTTTCGTGTTCTATTGTATAACAAAAATTACATTAAGATCGGCGAGTATTAATTGGGTGGTGTCCCTTGTTAGTCTTTCTTGGGGCTGAGCATAGCACTCTCCTAATGGAATTTCAAACGCAAGACTGCTTGAATGGGGTGTCTGCTGTTCGCTGTAGTTACTAAACGACCTAGCGATCTAAGAACTAAAAATCTTTTTAGCTTTTACCAGCGAAAACTATGCCGGGTTATACTTCTCTGGCGATCCAACTTGCTCGACTTCGAAAACTGTTCTGCACCCTACGTTTTACATATTGTACTCACAATCAGTTACATTAATATCCAGAAATAGTGATATTTGCATATTTGTTGCTTTGCATAGCACGCGTTAATTTAGATATCATAATACTCATTTTGCAGAAAGATAAACCATTCATTGTACATTAAAAATATATTAACAACTCCTTTTTGCTATTATATTTAGCTGCAAAATAGTCAAGTTTTTCATTTTCAAATTACATATAAATAATTGACTTTTACAAATTACTTATGATTAATAACGTTTTAGTGAAGAATGAGCGATTACAAAGCTACTAGGGAAAGGTACTGAAAAACATGTCCTTAATAATATATGTTAAAGTTAGATCATTAGGGCTGAGTCTTTCTTGTAAATATTTACTCTCGAATAATATCGTAACTAAACTTACATACGAATGCTTATATTTGTATAAAATATAAAAATAACTGTTATAGTTTTCAACCAGATACGGAATGTATCTGGATAGTAATGAAAACTATTTGTAAAAAAAGTATCTTGTTGTTGACAAATTTTACAATACGATATCACTTAATTTTCTCTAAATTTTCCATTGACTTGACCAATTTCCAGTTCAATTTTGGGTTTAACACGCCAAAATCTATAGTAGATGAAAGAAAAAATATATCCATATATTATAATAGAAATACTGCAATTTTTTTATAATATCACAAATAAGAATTTATGAAAATATGAATTTTAACATAAATCTTTAAGGATGAAAATTGTTTATAATGCATTTTCTATACATTTTCCTTATGGTGTAAGACAAGAACTTTAATTTCGAAAAAGAATCGCTTTTCTATCCTACTTTTATCACACGTTCTACACTGTTGACATAGAAATGAATAGGATATCCCATGTATTTAACTTCGATAACTAGCTTTCACGACGTTTAGTTTAATTTCAGTAAATAGCTTTCACGCCTTTTAAGAAAACTACTACAGTAAAACTGGTTTAAAGATGGTTATAACCCAGTTTTAATAAGAAGCATCTAATAAAACCACTCTCGATTAAAAAGAAGATATCTTAGAATTTCACGAATCAAAAAAAGTTAAAGGCATGATTCCTAAATACATCATTTATCAATTTTACAAATACAGTATTTGTGAAAGAGAAAGCAGAAAAAGGTAATGTTGAATCCAAGTGTAAAACGGAAAATATTGCAATCGACAGCAATCCTTTAACAATGTACATATGTGAGACACGTGTATACAAGGAAAAATACAAAGAAATAAATTATTATTATTTGAAATTAAATTTTTCAGACTCCAAAAATGTACATATATTATTTAAAACAAATTTATCTTTTATTTGTAAGTTTAGAATAGTGAAGCTAAATAAGAAAATTGTCAGATAAAAAATACTGATTGACACCATTTTTGGTTTGAAGAAAACGAGGTTATTTCTGGTAATTTTGTATATACTGGTTATGAATCTAACAACAAAAATATACAATCAAATCAAGCTTTGCAAATATTTTAACAAAAATTAAATCTTTTTTAGCTATTAATTTCATCGATAAAAATGATTTATAAAAGCAGAAAGG